GAGTAGTTCAGGTACCCCATTTGCATACGACAGAGTCAGTGGAGTGCGAACAAGTATCCTTTGACACCACAGTATTGCTAATTTGGTTAGGGCTTCCCGTCTCCACTGTCTAAATGAGGGATACATCAATACCGATACACGGTGCTGTAAATTGAGCCGATATAATTTTGACTTTACTGTCTCCAGAGGAAAATTGATTTGCTGTGAAGGCAAAATTTCAAAAACATAAACCATGAGCACATTAAACAAACACCCATAGAGGTGGAATATGACAGAAAACAAGACTGGATTTGTGTCTGAAATTGTTTTAATACATTTTATTTTATTATCTGAATCCTGAGTGTGTAATTGCTGTGTTAAAGGCCTAAAAATTCCCACAATGGCCAGAAAATATGCAGTGTGTTGCATTTTATGGATGCAGAAATTACTGAGCTCTCTCTGCCTGTCAGTGATGACTCCATATAACCATAGTAAATATCCAAAATCATGGTTTGCTGCTCACTACTGAGTCTCTTATATAGTGAGTAGTGAATGAATCAGTGAGGGAGTGATTTCAGCCACAGTTACAGCAACGTCAGAGCCTTAGGCACAGTGGTGTGTTGAGTTAAATGCTAGCATTAACATGCTCATAATAACAATGATAGCACGCCTATGGACCACCAATGTCATTTGGATTTGGATGCCTCTGGTACCAGAATCAGAGTTCCTGATGTGACGTTATTACTGACCACTCAACTGACAGGCATTACCAACCCCAGAGCGATGCCAGTGGCTAAAGCTGCAAGTCACGAGCACATCACAGGCGCAGTCCAAAAATGACAAACATCCATACAAGAGCAACATCACAAAAACAGTTTTAAGAAAGGGATAAAATAAGGTGTTAGTATCCCAAACACCAATCCCTGGTGCCGACAGCATGTGTGACATTGCTGAAATGAATGCAGAGCAATTCTTAATTTCAAACGGCTAAATATTTTATGAAGAAAGATGGATTTTAATTCAATCATTCCACCCTTTGCAGCAAGACCAGATGGACTCAATTAATATTGTTCTGTAGAAGTAATAGAAAATAATGACGCTTTCAGTTGCATTGCATCCTTCAGCACTAATACACCTGCATATACAGTATGTGTCTGCTGTGAGGAAGTACTGCTGGTGCAGCTTTACTTCACATGCATCTTTTATTTGCGCTCCCCTCGTGCTCATGAATTCCCCCTTTCATATTTCTGGTCGTATTTAAGTGACAGAACAGTGTCTGAATCTACTCAGTAGCATGTGGTGCTCATGCTGGGCTATTACACCGGCTCCCACAGAGTCACAAGTTACCACAGTATGAAAGAAAGCCAGCATGGGCTGTCTTCAGTGAATGTAGTTAGAGGGACATCTCTCTACATTAGAGAGGTGAGAGTCACACAGAGATGGAGAAGGTGTGTTATTTATTAGTGCCGTTCACCATGTTCAGGCTGTGTTTAGAGAGAGGGAGTGGTTCAATTCTCCTCTCTGCTCTTCTCCTTTTGACAAGGAATGATTTAACTTAATCATGAGAATATTAAAGGCTTCACTAAGAGCTGCTCATGGGAAAGTGGCTATGGTGGCATGTGTAGTCAATACGACATTACTTAACTAAAAGAACAGGATGTGTTGACTGCGGTTTGGAGTTGTTCACCGTTTGAAATTTTAAAAAGCATGAAGGACACTGCTGTAATGTGCGTCTCCATGAAGGACCAACACAGTGATAACTAATTTAGAAAGTATTTGGGATAACTGAATTTGTCAGCTGTAATCCCAGCAGCAGGTTGTGTGTGTGAACCCCAGCCATGTCCTTTTCTCCTCCTGCTTCTGTCTGTGGAGTTCCAGGGGCACAAAATGCAACAACAAGAAGAAAGGAGATATTTTTCTAATAACAAAAACACTCTCAGTATGCAGTCATAATAAGAGCACGAGAAACTTGAACATGAAATAGGAGCAGGTAAGGTCATTGTGCATCTCTGTGGATATTTTTTGTGGTTTTGTTGGTAATTTTATGTCTCTTTGTGGTAGCTTTGCAATTACATTGAATCGGTGGTGAGTCAGATTGCAGGCCACTTGTCTGTACCTGTCGAAGTTTGCTCATATGGTGTGGCAAAAAGGAGGAGGGGAGAGGAAAGAGTACGTGTATGGTTGCAAACATAACCTGCAGGAGCTAGCATGGCTCACGGGCTAACAGCAGCAGCCCACTGTCACTGTCCTCATGTTCATTAGAGCCAAACAGAATCTCTCCTTCTCTGCTGCTTTTATTGTTGTTGTATAGCTAGAATATAAACAAACATTTCCTGTAAAAGAGGTCACTCCCACCACTTCAAACCGACTGACCATTGCTGAATATGGCGGTTTTGTGGGTCAGTGTTCAATCACATTGATCTCTCGAGCAAAGCAAAGGTGGCTTGTCAATTCATGTGCCTCACCCTGTTTTACATAGACATGATTTTTGGCCAGAGTGCACCTTAATTAAAACTGCAAAAACAATGCATTAATCAAGTTTCTGAGGGTAACATCCATTTATCAATAGTTCAACATTTGCTCTGGCCACGCACCCTTATAGGTGTCGTTAAAATGAAGACCAAACAGCTTTTCTAAGCTACATGTTACTTAATCTGGGTGTTCAGCTGTATTTACAGCTGTATGCACACACACACACTCTTGTGTGTATTGTGTATGAGCGAAAGCTTCATTGTGTATGTTTATCAGTTGTATCTACAACCACACACTACAGCAAGGTTGTGTCTGCGTGAGACTCAGAGTGGAATGGTACCCAGGTCAAAACGCATTGCTGTAACTCAGAGCTATGCAGCACAAAAAGTGGAGAACAATGCCAGGTTCCACATGCACAAACACACCTTTCATGCACATACTGTGCATATTTTATGTGTCTGTATCTGTATTTGTCAGACATGATACATGAAAGAAAACAGAAGACGATGATGGTTTTTGTTTCAGTTCAATTTTAATTTCTCTTTTCTGAGTTTGTTTTTGTGCCTGTTTCCTTATCTTCCTCCAGACTATTTTTACGTCTGCTGTTCTCCTTTATTCCCCTAGCTTCCTCTCTCCTTCTCTTTTTTATCTCCGTCTTATCACACTTGTTCTCTTTTTCAGAGTTGGGCTGCTTCATAGTTAGTGCGTGTGTGTGTGTGTGTGTGTGTGTGTGTGTGTGTGTGTGTGTGTCACCTCAAGGACTCTTCGCATACACCACATGCACGCAAGGATACACACCAGCAATCTTTCACACACACTCACACGCAGCTCGAGCATTGTATCTGGGGTTGTTCTTGAGCACCCTTAGGAGGTAGCCAGTGTTCAGAGCTCGGCTTTTACATCCTCACATTTGTGCTTAGCTCATAGTGCGGCCCAGTTCGACACGGCACAGCATGTCCTGGCACACTGCAGCTCAGCACCGCATGTGATATGCCAACTTAACACAATAACGTTCAGATAACACCAGACCCCTGCCTGGAGCCACTCAGTTTGGTGAACCACACCACTGTAACAGCTGGCTTGCGTACAGTCAGACAGAGATAAGAGCCACAGGCCAACACGCTGAGCTGTGACATATGGGTGGGTGTTACTGTACTATTTTCACCAAGTGCTGGCAAGTCTCACAGTGCTGTGACAAACTCATACTTAACAGATGTGTTTTATTCTGTGTTAATTATGATTTTTTTAAACATAAGATTTGCACATTACACCTTAGTATTCTTTCAAAACAAAAGTCCTGAGCCAGGATATTTCAGTGTGCATAGCCTTTCAGTCTTGTCTTCTAGAAAAGACATTTACAACATATATACTGCTAATTTGTTTTGCCAGCTACATTTTTAGGGAAGCATAATTGCTGCCTGGGTTGTGTTGAGTGAGTGAGAAGTGTTAACAATTACAGATGGGTGACAACTGTAAGGAAAACACTGAATAAATGAGCGGAGAAACAATGAATTCAGATGCTGGCATGGTGTGGATCTACTTGTCACTGCAAATCAGTAAAAGTTGTCCTGAGTGATCACCTTTGTCCTGTGATGAAACCTTTCTCTCTTGATGGGAATGGTTTTTCCTTTAATTTGGCAATGTCTGTATGTGCAGTAGGCAAGTGGTGGATCAGTCATTTCAAAAACAGGATTTATGATTGTGCAGCCGCCCCCTGGCTCTTCGATAGCCGCCTCTGAGCCAGCACCTTGCTAGAATAGATGTGTTTTCAGTTCTAGAGTTGTCATTCAAGTCACTTCATGATGAAAGAGTTACTAAAGAATCCAGTGTATGTAAAGTCTTTTGGGTTTTCTTGTTGTAGTTTGTCAGGAGCTGTAGCATTTAAATTAGTTGTTCCTACAATATCTTTTTTAGTTGTTGTTGTTCCAGATATGATTTAGATTAGAAGTTAAAAACTGCTGACATGGTTCCATATTGCTGAGAATCATAATAATAAAGCTGTTGAGATCATGAATATTAACACTGAGTGTCTAACTGGGAGGGGTGCAAAGATTCTGATTGAAACTGTAAATGGCACAGCTGTAAAATTGCTTTTCCTGCATCATTGCCCTCCCGGAAATGAACACAGTCACGGTCTTTAGATGCAGTGTGGATCAAAGATAGAGGCTCATTTCTGAATATTATGTAGATTTATGAAAATGTAATTAATAAAGATTAATTGACCAAAAAGTCAGAGTCAGCTGAGTCCTTAATAACACATTAAATCAAGCAATTAACTAAGGCAGTAGCCCTAAAATCTATTACTGACATACAGAGAGACAGATGCCTTGACTCATTAAAGAAAAAAGCAGGATAAGGTAGCAACATGCAGAAGATGGGGAATTCAGCTGTTCGACACGAACATCAACACTATCCAGGTTCTGTCATTGTTAAGCTTTGACACCTGTAAATGTGTCTGCTGGATTTCAAACAGTACTTAGTCTCCCCGGTCAGATTGCAGGGATTCACATAAGTAGGCCAACTCTCTAAATCTGCTATCTCCTCTCCAGTGGACGGAGCCATCCACCGCATCGCAGGTCCAATGCTAAAAAAGGAGTGTGCTTCTCTGCACGGCTGTGAGACCGGAGAGGCCAAGATCACCTGCGGCTACGGCCTTCCAGCAAAATGTGAGTATAAAGTGTTAGTATAACTTTCAGCTACTTAAGTGAGAGTGAAGTAAAATAAAGGTTGAACAGCCTCAGTATTTAAAACAACATAAAATTAGGCAATTCTGCAGTCCTGTTATATATTTATTTATTGCAATGAGAACTTAGTGTAAACTATATCAGTTTTCCTTTTCAGCCCAAATTCAACTAAAAGCAGAAACTCATCTAAGTATCTGTACTAATTTTACTTAGAGCCTTCCATTTATAGCAAAGTAAATGGCACTCAATTATTGAGTGGCACTCCACTGCAGCGTGTGACGAAACAGAAGATTCAACATGACAGGAAAAGCTTTTCTGTGTGTTTAAACTCAGAGAGGAAACAATCCTCTGAAACAACGCTCTGACTTTGGGTAGAGCATCAGGGCTCAGTGTAGACATTAATAATAAGAAGAGAAGTGCACTCGCTGTTTGTTTTGTTTCGTCATTTTGTTTCTGAAAGGTCAAACACGTGACCTGGGTTATAAATATCAATTAAATATCACCCAGGAATGAAACGTATATGCTCCTCCTGTTTGTAGACACCGAGGGCATCAAGTGTGTAGGTCAGTATCATAACTCACGGATGTACTGATATTTTTTTTTTATTAATTTTAAAAGCAGCTTTCACTTACTAAAATTCTCTGATTTATTGTGACATTGTGAAGAAAGACTGGGCTGTTATTATGAGCAGTAAATGCTGAACAATAAATTATCTCCATCTACAGAAACTCAAACAAAAAGGAAACAGCTGTTAGGTGACCTCTTGGGAACAGGGCAGGAATTCATATTATTTTTATTGTTTATTCATCTGTAGATAACTGTGATACTATTATTATTATTAGTTGTTTAGTGGGGATTAGGTTTTAGTCTATGAAATGTCAAAATAATGGTGTAATTGCTTTTAACAGCCCAAAGTGACATCTTCAAATTGCTTCTGTTGTCTGTTAAATACACAAAGATATTCAGTTTAAAATCATGAAACAAACTATTAGCAAGTCATCACATTTAAGAGACTTGAATCAGTAGGTAATTTGCTATTTTTGCAGTAAATTTTCCAACAGTTTTATCAAAACAATCCCAGTCTGTGTGTATCTACTTGTTGTGGTCATTTCAACCAAAGACTCAGGCGGTTTTGTTTGAATAAATTAGTGGGTGTTGAGATGTAAAATTGTGATGATGATTCAGACCCTGTGATATAAAAGCATAAATCTGACAGAATGAACACACTTTTGAGTGGGTCGGAATTAATTTTTCTGCTTCCCATTTTGTTATGACAGATTAATCAATGGCCCCTTGAGGGCCCTGACCTGCGGATTGGGAACTGCTGGTTTAATCGACTGGTTAGTCGCATCCCCATAACACCGCAGCAGTGATTGAAGTTTAGGCCTTGCTACTCAGTTTTTCATGTCAGGAAGTATTTCAATAGAGTTCTTCCTAAATTGAATTTAGCTGAAGAACTTGATCGATTTTACACATCAAAGTGTGTTTACAGCTCTCGGGGAGTGATGTTACTACTGCATATGTTAAAAAAATGCATAAAGGCTCATGTGGCTCCAACGGGATCTGCACAAAATCTGATAAACTGCCTCAAGTGAGTCAGTATCAGTTGGGTCTGAAGAGTTAGAAAATGAATTCAAAGGTGTGGGGGTATGGAGTTGGAAAGAAGTAGGCTTGAAAGACCTCAGTAGCCTCCTCCTCGTCTCTGCCCGAGGCTAGTGGCTTGGAACTATTCGCTCCTAGCATAACACACCTGAATCTCTGACTGAGCAGTTAGTGGTTGAGTTGCATTGTGGGTAAGGTAGCCGGAATATTTAGGCGAGGAAGAGAGTGTGTGGAATACTCTAGGTGATATCTCTGGTTCTACTGCATCAATTGTGATCCTTGTTTCTAAACTGGTATCATCCATCAAAAGTCTGACTCAGACTGTTACAGTACTCGCCTCATACTGTATACATAGTGTGCACAGTGCAGTGTTCACATGCCATCACATGACACTCAGTTTCCACCGCCCACTCCTCCAATTTAAATGTGATCTTTTGTCATGAGCTAATCATTCTGTTGCCTTCCACTGTAATGAGTGCTCACAGCATCACACTAATAGGCATTGCAATAATGCTGTAGCAAAGCTTTGTACATTATAATGACCACACAGGTATGCATGTGTGCATCAGTGTGTGTGTGTGTGTGTGAGAGAGAGAAGGAGATTAAAGGAACACTGAGACTGTGTGATATCAGCTTATGGTCCCACAGAGAGTTTAAGTTCACAGAGGAAGAGAAGAGAAAAAAGCGAGAGAGGAGCGATGATAAAGGCAAACTGAAGGCAGAATGGAGAGTAGGAGGAGAGGATATAGATAAGGAAGGAATGGGAGAGGTCTAGAAAAAAATAAAAATAAAATGAAACGGCATGGGGAGGGGAAAGATGTGAGAGGAGCTAAAGACTGGAGGGAAGTAGCCGATGATCAGTTCTTTCATTGTCACTTCTTAGTCGACTCAGTTATTTAACTTTGAGGATGTTTGCTGTAATCTTAGTGTGTGTGAGATAGGATGCTGCCGCTTGTCAGTGTGTGTCCATGTATGTGCATATTGTGTGTTTGAGCTTGTAAATGTATGTTTCTCTCTTGGTGATTTGGTGTGATGCTGCATAGGTGTGTATTGAAATGTGTTTACTGGGGTCTGTGTTGCATTAAAAGTAGTGTATCAGTACATACAGTGTGGGCTGCCTGTCAGATCTTATCGCTCTCTTACCTGTAACTATCTGTCAGCGTGAGATCTCAGTGACTGACTGTCTTTCTGACTCACTGACAGACTAACTCGGTGTGGGTGTGTGCACCGGCCTGTCTGCGTTGCATTCATGTGTGCGGGGCAGTTACCCAGCATGTGGTATGGAGACCAGCTTTCTCCTCCCAGACAAAATATTAAGTCCTGCGAATAATTCAACATGCGTCTGCTTTAATGCTTAAACACTCTCAACAGGGCTTGATTACCTCTCAGCAGGAGGGAGAGAAAGGCAAGACAGAGACAGAAACAACAGAGCCAAAGCAAAGGAGGGGTAACAAACAGGGCGATGTCAAAGCAGAGCGCTGCTGTGGAAAAGCTATAAACAGGAATCTTGACAGGAGAGGTTGAGAGACGGGTCCAGTCTCAAAGCCAGCACTTTGATCTTGATTTGCATGGGCTTGCCACCAGATGTGGGATTTCAAGAGCGTCAGACTCACGAGTTGCCAAATGGTCCAGAGGACCGGCTGTCAGCCCTCTATGCGGAGTGTCCGTCGATGATCCTGCAGCCACTTAGCCAGCAGCATCTCTTTACTGTAACCTAGCAACACCTTGAGCGCATAACACTCTACTGCTGCTGTTTAGCAATAATCGCATGCAATTTAAGATGTTGACAAATGACAGCTGGGAAATTTCAGCTAGGCCCTACTTAAAATCACATATTAACCAAAACTTAAAGGCAGTTAAATCTGCAATCTGCAGATTTAAGACACCTGAGGCATGTGAGTCACTATAAACAAAGGCTTGATTAGGAATGGTCTGATATCAGTCTATTTGTGTCTACAAAAAATGAGTTTAGTGCTCACTTGTGAACCAGATGCATGCTGTAACAACCTGTAGGTGTGTGTTTGTGCGTGTTTTGTGGTTGGCAGACAAGGGAGCCTGGGCTGAATATGTTGTCCAGACAACCCAGCACCACAGAGCTTACCTGTGTACCGATAAACACAGCTGTAACCGTGCTAACCTGTTCCCTAGCCGGCCCTCACTCCCCGGCCAAGCACACCGGGATATAACATCGTGACACACTGGGGAGGCCCACTGAGGTGAATAAGAAAGATATTGATAACATGAGGTCAAAAACATAATCACTATTCACCTCCAGTAACGGCCACACTCTGCATTAGTGACATCATTGCATCATTACAGAGACTTACAAATACTTTTAAGGCTTCCTTTGGTGATCAACTGATATACATTATCTCAGGGGTACAAAAATAATCCGTCTACTGTTACCGCTTAATAGTTTTACAAAATGTACATCTCCAGTTTGAGATTTCCTGTTTTGGAGCATTTAATGGTAAAAACGCTAAAGAAAAATTTTTAGAACATGGCAAAATTGACAAAAATAGGTCTTCATTTTGAAGACAAAAAGAATCAGAATGGTAAAAGTATAAACCAAGATCCATCACAACACAACATACCAGCCCAGTCACTGAGGGATTTTAACAATACTGGGGATGTGCTCACTTTCAGTTTTACTGACAAAGAAAGTTGTAGATAATTTCACTAAAACTAAACTGCCAGTTTGTGTGCAACTTGTGTAATTGTCTAACTGCTCATATTTGTTTCCTGTTGGTCCTATTGTTAGCATGTCACCTTGTTTTCAGATGTCAGCAGCTACTGGGGTGAATACAGTACAAAACGGCTCCATTAACAGTTCAAAGTCTTTAGACTTGTGATAACTGCTCACAAGCTGTGAACACAATATTGACATATTATCACCTTTTCAATTTGCTAGAAAACAGCTGCCCATTATTTACACACGCGGCAGATAGAGCGACATTTGGAGCGATGTATTTGGCCATCTGATGACTGTACATCCAATAATAACTCTCCTATTTGCTCCTCCTAACACCTGAGAACCATATGGTTCTTTACTTGCTCCACTATATTTACATTTATTATATGTGACTTAAGTACTGTAATAAATAAAAGATGGACCAGATATTCATCTCAGTACAGTGCACCTTTGCACTTTTTCTGCAGGTTAGCAACAGCTACATTTCTTGCATATGCTTCTAGATTTCAGCCTGAAGGAAAAGAAATCAAAAAACTGCATTTAAAAATGAGTCTGTAACTCAATAAAGCTTTTGGATGTTTTCAGCATCATTGTACACATTGCTTTATCTTGTCTCATATGCCAAATACCTTACAGTTTATTTGCAGTTTACTGTATTTAGGGGGGAGCTGATAGAGTGATGGCTACA